TCACCTTGCCGGCCTGCAAAAATGCTTCTTCACGCCTCTCTTAAAGGATCCCAGGTTATAGGAAGGAGGGAACACTTGCGCGGGTAAAGAATTCCACTTACGAATAGTACGACAAAGAAATGAGTCACCAAATTTCTTTGTTCGTGTAGGAATAGTGGCCACAGTAAGTCGGTGACAACGTAGGCCAGCGCGCGTGGTCTTCTGAAGAAAAGGTGATGGAGGGATAAGGGAGAATAACTCCTCAGAACACTCGCCGTGGTATAGACGATAAAATGCGCTTAATGATGCCACATCGCGGCGTAAATGTAGAGACTCGAGTTTCTTGGTTACCTCTTCATCGCCAATGATACGGACAGCGCGCCGCTGCAACCTATCCAAGGCATCGAGTCAGTACTTAGCAGAGCCATCCCAGAGGTGCGAGCAATATTCCATGCAGGACCGCCCTTGCGTTTTGTAGAACAAGCACAGTTGATCGGGCGTGAAAAAACGCCGCACCTTGTTCAGGACTCCGAGTTTGCGTGAAGCTGTTTTCTCTCGAGCTCCTCCGTGCTTCGGAAGGCACGTTAAGCCGTTGGTCCCGGCTGCATCTGCAGTCGTTAGCACCCACCAATCCGCACTGGGCCCGCGTGGTGGGTCATGGCCCAATCTCCCTATTCCATACACCGGGAAGGCCTGTGCCCCAGCAGTGGGGACATTAATAGGCTGATGATGATGATGATGATATTATTTTGAGTGAGCCTGAATCATGATCTGATTTAAGAAATCAAAGAAAAAAAAACTTGCAAATGTATTAAAAGAAATATACGATGTGTACAAGCGTGCTCATTAATTTGGATGCAAAAAAGCTCTAGCAATGACATAGGTACTTCATTTCTATTCTAAGAGCGATTGCTTTTTTTAAAACCAATGTTACCCTTTTTAGGCCAATATTTAATGAGTAGGTCTGAAATATAATTAGGGCTTATTGTAAGGTAGGTCACAACTCACAACTTCTCTACCTTTCGTTACTGTGGGATTTGAATCCCATACTTTAATACATTTTTTAAATGCATAAGGAAATACTTTTTTATCATACATACAATGTACAACAAGACAAAGCGAGACGATATTTATTAATGTTTTTATTTATTTTTTATTTGTGTTTTCAAAACTTGTTTATTCATATATGCTGAACAGAAAGTTAGTGTTAATCAGATCAGAGTTTGAGCAACGTACGCAATCTTTAATACCGCTTTTGAATCAATAGTCGTCAGTCGTCACCCTCTGCCGAGTCTGCGTAACGTCGCATTGTATCGCTGTACCAGAAAGTATACAGCACAGAAGGTAATCTACATACGAAGTGTGCTCGAACGACGCACACACAGACACCGCTTACGGACACGATATCTCGGACCTCGGGCCCTTCGCCTAACGGAAATGCTTAGAAAACGCTAACGCTTACGATTTCATTTTGTTATTTTTAGCCGCCTGAGGTTTTCAAATGCCTAGCGCTCTTTTTTTTCTTTTGCATTGGTAATAATAATACCAAAGAAATAAAACTAGTTTTCTACGGGTTAATGCACGAAACTTTATTTATTTAGATTTTATAATATCAAAGAAAATAAGCGTGAGGTATTTAAAAACCTTCGGCGGTCAGAAATAACAAAATGAAATCGACAGCGTTAGCGTTTTCCAAAGCATTTTGGTTACGTGAATGGCCCCCTGTTGAGACCACTGCAAACGCGAGTTCTACCCGCTCGAGTCCATCTGATGAACTGAGTGAATTGATTTTGTTCAAAAATGGAGCAATAAAATAACTTACTCTAATGGTTCAGTAGATGGTTGTTAAATTCAAAAATAAACGGTGAATTGACAATTTTTTTTTTGTAATATAACAATGACATTATAATTTAAATATTTTACTTATTATTGTTTAATATTTCCGTTCTTTCTGTTTCATTCTCGACAATAAATCAATCAACTAGATACATTGCCACTACCTCGATAGTTTGTTGAACATAAGCCGAAGTTGACAATCCTAGCGCGACCGCCGAGCGTATGTATGTAAAGTGAAGAGACACACAGAGTACACGGATGGGATTACTTTCTGTACGGTCTATTTTGTGGTTGCGTTGTGTCGCCGTACCACAAGTCAGTTGTTGTTTACAAGTACAACTGAACAATACAGTTTCCAATGAGGTAATTAACATAATAACTCGGCCCGACCAACTCCGCCGTTGCCGGAGTCAGTAATTGCCGAAGTTGCCGCCAATTAAGCGTAATTCATTAACGTCGTGTTGCTGCTCTTTATTTTAGTGTAAATCACCAAATTAAAAGGGAAATATTGTACTTACTGTAAATGATTCGTTAAGCATTATTTGTACAAATTGAAAATGCTGTCAATTGAATTGGAGCGCTCGTCTGGTGAATAAAGATCCACCTTACAGAAGACCACTGTATTTTAGATAAATAAAAAATGGGTGCGTGTACTTATGTAGGCGCGTGAGAAGTTATCCTTCTTTGGCATCGTTTAAAATTAGTTTTTAATTGCATGCAAATAATTAATTACAATAAATTAATAAAAAGTCTGGAAAAGGACACAGTCAATAAAGTTCAGTTTTAATTTGAAAAAATAAATAAATAATCAAAGTATTCAATTAAAATCGCTACTGAATATAATTTATTAGAACATATGTGATTTGCACTTGAATGAAACTCAAACACGTATTCCGAATATACAAACTAGAAACATGTGGATAAATATTATAAATATGAATACCTATAACTGTTACTTTATTACAAAAAATAAAGATGTGGTTTTTGGTTCTACTACACCAATGGTCAAGAGATGGCGCTGTAGTCTCCTGAATCGCGCTTTGGTTCCGTTGTTCCAGATTAATAAATACTTTTGATAGGCCTTCACAATGCAGTCGTTAGCACCCACTAAATAGAGATTCTATTTCTATTTTGTTGGTAGATTTTCTTAATGTGCGGTAAACACAAAAGTAACGCATGAAGTTGGTTGGCTAAAGCGACCAACTTCATGCTGTTAAAATTTTGTGTTACAGTGATGCGCGCGCATCTTAAAATTTCACTGTCATCATTTTTTCATAACGCGCCTAAAGAAGTATAACTTCAAAAAAAATCAGTTGTTTCGAGCAACATAGTAACTCTATATATTTTATTTATTTAATTTAATAAATGATAAGTTGTATTTCTAGTGACATGTGCCTATTTCTATAGTAAGTGATTATGTATTATTATTATGATTATGAGTTATGTTGCTCGAAATAAATGTTTTTTTTTCATTTATTTATAACACCATCTTTTGTTAGAGTTATGTTTTTGTTAGTAAGGTGACAGCCATTTTTCAATTTGACGACTTTGTATATAACAATACAGGGAGAAAAAAACAGGCCTTGTTGAGTTTCTTGCCGGTTCTTCTCAGTACAAGCCACCGTAGTTTTGCGAACCGATGTCGTAGCTTCTCGACCTTCACAAGTGCTTGTAGGAGCTTAGACTGAATAAATGATTTTTGATTTTGATTTTTTGAGTAAGTTTCCTGGGTAGGGTATAGGACCAAGGGGCCTACCGCCAAACGGAGGTTTGGTTATTTCTGACCGCCAAAGGTTTTCAAATGCCTCTCGCTTCGCTTTGGTAAAAACAATATTAAAGAATATGAGCGCGAGGTATTTGAAAGCATTCAGTCAGTCAGGAATAGCAAAATGAAATCATAGGCTATAGCAGTAGCCAAAGCAATCCTGATATGATGATAGCTTTTTCTTTGGTATCGTAGGCTACAGTGGCCTTTTACCATCAGGCCGGCCATTATGCATGTTAAAAATGTAAAAACAATGTTATGTAGTCTGATAACAGAAAATAGAGATAAAATGCCCAATTAACATTTCAAATTATAACGTTATATTATGCTTAAAAAACTCAGCTTCTTAAAACGATACTCAAAGACGTTTTCTTAGTTTCTTTTGTAATGTTGAAATCGGTCCTTGGGTTAGAGATTGGCTTCTCCAGCCACTTTCTAAAGTAAAAGGTTAACGACGCGATGTAAGAAGATCAGCAAGCTAATTGTATATATAAAATTTATTTATCTTTCGTAACAATATATTCGATTTCTGTCGCTTAATCAACTCAATAATGTAAGAATTTATAATTTTCACCTTAATAGATTGCTGATTTGACCACACATTTGTACGTGTCACTATAATACAATGAAGTGTTAAATTTCTATTGCTTTATTTTTATTAATAATTATTAAAATCGCATGCATGTAAAATTTATTAGAATACTAGTGGCCCGCCCTCGCTTCGCTTCGGTGTAGAGCTGTGGTGTGAAGTATAGTTTTTGTTCTCAGGCTTGTGTTATAAACAATGACTTTATTTATATAATTACACGTGTTATTGTGAGTCAACCATAAAAGATAGACACATGCTGTTGCGGGATATTTTTTAGACAATTTTATGTAGAATATTTCCGTCATACATGATTTCTATGTAACTTTAACCATTAAGGCTGCACACGCGACGGAAGCTTAAAAAATGGAGTAACTTCTCCCGTTTTTCCAACATTTCCCTTCACTACTCTGCTCCTATTGATTGTAGCGTGATGAAAAGTATACTATAACCTGCCCAGTATGAAGAATAATTGTACCAAGTTTCGTTAAAATCCGTCGAGTAGTTTTTGTTTCTATAAGGAACATACACACAGACAGACAGACAGACAGACAGACAGACAAAAAATTTACTGATTGCATTTTTGGCATCAGTATCGATCACTAATCACCCCCTGATAGTTATTTTGAAAATATATTTCATGTACAGAATTGACCTCTCTACAGATTTATTATAAGTATAGATATAGATTGTTAATTATAAGATGTATTAAATAAATATTTCTTTGTTATGACCGACTGTCAGTTTCGGTGTCAATGAAAAGTGTTGAAACGATACAACCTCCATATTCTATAAAAGCACGAGCTTGACACCGGAGAAGGCAGTCAGTGCTGAGTTTTTGTGAAAAAAAGTGCTAAAGGTTGAACGAGTTTATGTGCATACCTACCCCCAACTTACAATAATAAACTCCAGTCGATAACTTCGTACTTTATCAATGCATAGCGAATAATTCGTATGCCTTTCGCACACTTGCGCATTAAAGCTTTTGGTGGTTTTGTACTAAATGCGCTAAATCGTAATGAATTATCAGACTGTGTGTCTATAGACGCTAGACGAAAGATTGACTGGCGATTTTTGACACTCATAAAAGAGGTTGTTGGTGACAATACATTTCTATGTTCAGCTGAAGGAGCGTACTTACGATGGATCTAAATTGAAATTCAACAAATATTTATCTCCTCTTTCTTCGATCTAAATTCTAAACGCTCATTAATGCATATTTTAGTACCAAATGTTAGTCGCGTAGTGTGGAATTACAATTATATCCTGCTACTTATATATGATTTAGAGATCTGTTCAAGGAACATTAACAGAACTGACTGAGAGAGCTAGACCTCTCTCCGGTTAGAACCGTTTATGTCGATCTAATTCTCTTAGTTCAATGCCAATGCCCAGACGCAATAATTTTAACGTATTTACAGTCTGAACCAAATCTAATCTATTAGGTTTTATTAAATAAAGAAAAAGTCTTTAGCCATGTCTAAACTTGTTCTAGCGTATTCCGATTTATATTCAAATGGCGGCATTTTGTTAATGAGCTCGTGACCTTTAGTCTCAATATTATTAAAACCCATTTCACGTCGATGGAATTTTAAAACGAAATGAAGTTTGACATTTCAATTTAAGCGCCATTTCTCATAGTTTATTCCAGAAATCTCTACTGATATATGAATGAATAACCGGTGAGGATATATCAATGAGAATTTCTTTAATAAATGGTCCTTTTCATTATGTTTTATTGCAGTGATCACTTTAGAAGGTTTTTTATTTCGTTCAAATTGTTCAACGTTTACTTACGCGAGTTCCTTAATAGTTTGTAAAGTCTCGGGATGTAAAGATTTAAGCTATTGCTGCAATTAAAAAAACACGGAAAACGTTATATTTATGGCAGAGGCAGGAGATTTGCTTCGGGTTTTAATTTGCTTTTTGCGATTGAGGTACTGGTTGATCGCGATCATCGTTTCTGACGAGGACAGCAAAGGAAACGGCGGCTAGGGGAAAGGGTTATATTATTAAATACTATGTTTACAGAAATATAAGGAAAAGACAGTAAGTATAGGTTATAGAAGAAGCAGACAAGAGTTTTGACAAGAATAGAGTTAGGACGGCGTGGCATAGATAATCGTTCATATAAATATTTTCAATCAAAGAGTCTGTCTTCGACAGTTTCTAATTATAAAATACGCGATTCGTCATCATATTTTCAAGTCATTAAGTCACCAGTAATAAATCTCAGCATTGTGGTGCAATTTTATATTCACCAGCAACCTCCCAAGGGGTGAGTAGCGTAAATCTATTTTCCTGACAGTATTCTAATGTTGTTGTACACAGATTGCGTCCACCTGCAGTTGTACCGCGACTCGCGCGCGCGGTTCGGCGGCGCCGCGAGCAAGGCGTCCCTCTCTCTGCAGCAGTACCTCGGCTGCGAGTCCGGCTTCACGCTGGACAAGCACTCCAACACGCTGGCGCTCGTATGCCGCGACCTGGTGGCCATTCTGGCATTTGAGACGCGCGAGAGACTCATACAATGGCAGGTGCGTTATATGATTCACGCTAGACATATGCTACACTCCTACCCGCAATTACTTCAGTTATTCCGTGATCATGGCGCTTGCAACAGTGCCGAAATATCGGAAACTCGCTAAAAACAAAGAACATGGTAACAATCCCGTAAATAACATAAATTACTATAATGTTAGTGACCATGAATGTTTAAAACCATATATTTAATATTCCATCACGCTTATCTCTCGTGTTTCGCTAGCTTGTGGTCATACTAGCATTTGAGAATAGCCAGAGACTTAAACAATGGCAATTGGGTGAAATAATTCACACTAGTTAAGCACTTTCATACGCTGATATTGTCCTCATCCTGGCACTTGAGACTTATGTGATGGCGGGTTTGTGAGATACTTCACGCTCGATAAGCACTCCAATACCCTGGAATTCGTGTGCAGGGAACTGATGGGCATTCCAGTGTTTGAAACGCAGGAGGGACTTATACAATGGCAGGTGGGTGAGATTCTATACGCTAGACAAGCACTCCGTCACTGTGGCGATGTTGGTGGAGATCTCGTCGGTGTACTGGCCTTTAAGACGCGCGAGATACAGTGACACGTTGATAAGCATTACGACACATTGGGGCTCGTGTCGCAGTCTCGTGGCCATTCTCTCTTTCGAGATGTACTAGAGACTCATACAATGGCAGGTGGGTAAATAGTGATTTTTGTTTTTTGTGTATCAGTAAGTTTGATTCAGAATATGATTTTGGTTACTGCGAGTTTCTCACTTGAATGGGAGTGTCCGCTTGGAAAAGACTCTACCATTTGGATACATGACTGCAGCCCAACACTGCTATTATGCAGTTTTGAGTTTTTTATTAAGTGAGGTGGCAATTGTCGATAATATATTATTAAGAGTATCATTATAATATTTACCATTAATTAACAAGTCACTTAGCCAGACATCAGCTGAATATTTACCATTCTTAATCGTTTGATCAACAATGCTGCTAACTGATTTTATGTACAAAAGTTCAAACCTTTTTGGAATGCTTATTTCCGCTCTTGTACAAAACAATATTAAGTATCATTATTATGTTGAACTTGGCAAGGAACTAGTCATACGGATTAAATATTCACACGAAGCGCTCCGTTGGCCGAGTTCCAAAAAGGTCCCTGCACGTCGCCGACGCTTTACTCAGATTTTTTGTTGTACCTTCCCACGCTTCACTGAAGTTACTCACTGCATTTTATCCTTCATGAAAAATCAACCCCTACTCGTATATCATCCGAAGCTGTACACGCATATCATCTGAAGCTTTTAAGCCTTCTAAACTATTTTTATTCCATTCCAAATATATATTTAACATTACTTTAATTTTCGTTTGTGTTTATATAAAAAAAAAAAATGGTTGCCTGTAAAGTCGGTTTTACGGGCGAAGATTTTACGTGACAACGTCTTTTTCTCGGTAGAATATTTATTGATATGAATATAATTAAATTGCACAATAGGAACAAGGAATTGAATGAAAATAAGAATTGCACAAATTTTAACTATAGAAATATATTTTGTTTACTAAAACATTGTACATGTAAACTTAAACTTAACACGAGAGACTCATCGTAACGTTACCGAGCGTTACACTTTTTCATAAGTGACTCCCAGCCGCAACCTAATTTAAGACGTTGTCACGTCAAAAAACAGCAAATTAAGTCACCTCAACCGATTTATGAAAAGATAGATTTGATATACTACCTTAATCAAAAATATGAACGCTTTCACAGATCATGCCTATGAACTTTCCGGATCCTTTGAAAGATGAAGTAGAAAACGCAAAAAACGTAAACCTAAGAAAACGCAATAGAATTGACAGACTTTTAATGGTTCAGGTGAAGGTGTCAGCGCAGTTGGGCGAGCCGCGGCACTACCTGGTGCTGGTGGGCGCGGGCGGCGCGCGGCGCGTGGCGGCCGGGCCCGCGCGGCTACACCTGCACCAGGAGCGCTGCGCCCTCACCGCCGGCGTGCCGCCCCGCCTGCTGGGCGTCTGGGAGCTGCGGCATCTCAGGTAACCGCCCCGCCTGCTGGGCGTCTGGGAGCTGCGGCATCTCAGGTAACCGCCCCGCCTGCTGGGCGTCTGGGAGCTGCGGCATCTCAGGTAACCGCCCCGCCTGCTGGGCGTCTGGGAGCTGCGGCATCTCAGGTAACCGCCCCGCCTGCTGGGCGTCTGGGAGCTGCGGCATCTCAGGTAACCGCCCCGCCTGCTGGGCGTCTGGGAGCTGCGGCATCTCAGGTAACCGCCCCGCCTGCTGGGCGTCTGGGAGCTGCGGCATCTCAGGTAACCGCCCCGCCTGCTGGGCGTCTGGGAGCTGCGGCATCTCAGGTAACCGCCCCGCCTGCTGGGCGTCTGGGAGCTGCGGCATCTCAGGTAACCGCCCCGCCTGCTGGGCGTCTGGGAGCTGCGGCATCTCAGGTAACCGCCCCGCCTGCTGGGCGTCTGGGAGCTGCGGCATCTCGGGTAACACACGCACCAAACGATCTATCTTCTATCTTCGGCTAATCAATGAAGTTACATATCAGAACATCTAGCAGTTAAATAAAAAAAAACTGATATAGGAGTAGTAATGTCAGTAAATTTTAACAAAGACAAGGGAAAAACATTATGGTCTCTTTATTATTAGGAACAATGTAACAAAAGTATTTTAAGAAGGTTATCTTTTTAAGATGAAATTTATGCTAAGTAGCACAATGCAAAACGGTTGGCAAAATTTACTCTATCGTTTATTTTACTGTTTATGTGATAAATATAAATTAATAAGATATATTATCGAAATTTCCAATAAAACAATTTATACGCAGGCGCTACGGCGTAGTCGAAGGTCGTTTCTGCTTCGAGGGAGGTTCACATTGTGGAAAGGGTGAAGGTCTCCACGTGTTGATCACCGACCAGGCGCAGCAACTGGCTCGAGACTTCGATCTCGCCTCCCAGGGCCGCTTGTCACCCAAGAGAAGACCTATGAACTCCAAGAAGAATGAAAGTAAGCTCTAACATAAGTTTAAACCGGTAGACGATTCTTATATACATAAATTTCCTTACACTCTTTCGTTTGTTTACAGGCTCTGAAAGCCCGAAATCTCATAAAGCTTATCGACCAGACACACGGTTATCTGAATTGAATACTGTCGATCGCTCCCTTCCTCCGATGGATTTAAGGCTTTACGAAGATCCATGTATCGGGGAAGAGGCTGGGGCTATATCTCCTTACTGGCCGTCAGCGGAAAGAACTAATTTCCAAGACTTAGGCTTAGCAGACACGGCTTCGGTGAACGAAACTATAGATGGAACGGACACGACTCCATGGAATGGCACAGGCAACGTTTCGCTTGAAAGGTGCATGAGTTGTATATCGAAACTCGGCGCTCTCTCGAGATCGTCCACGGCAGCGTTGACGCCTGGAGCCAAACACTTCAACCCCGCGTGGACGATGGAAGCCGTACCTGAAACTCCACGTAAAGAATCTCTTCCAAAAGAAAATACTCATAGTTGTGACATTAATTTTAAGAAATCCAATAAGACTGAAGAATTGTGCTGTTGCTCGGATCGGCCACCTGATAGACCCCCCAAACCTACTAGACTAGAATTAAACCTCGTAAATAAGCCACCGATGCCCCTACCCTCTCAAACTTGTACGTGTGGACATGTTGAAGCAGCAGATGAAACCAAAAATTCAAGAGTAGGTCCCTATGAAAATTATGATGTTCCAAGGCTACCTTCAGCAGAGGTAAGTTATCGTAGCAATAACGCTCAGTTTAGCCATCGGTTGGTTGAACTACTTTTGCAAAAGCATGAATTAATTATTTTATTTGTTTTTTTTTTAGATTGAGGGAGAGTATTATGATACGCCGAAAAGGTTAAAAGAATGTCTAAATAATGAGTTATTCAGAATAACAAAAAGTTCTACTTCTAATGCAGTAATATTAAAAAAGCCATGTGGATGTTTACTCAAGTTTGGAAAAAGGCCAAAAGAGCCGACCATTGTAGATACAGATGAAAACTTTCAACCTGCAAATTGTCCGTGTCAGAGGGTCACTGACTGGGCAAATAACTGGATAAAATTGCCATATTGTAAGAAGAGTACAGTATCCAGTGATAATTTGGTACCCAATAAAGAAAATGTCAAGCCAAATTTTTGTGACCGTAGTGCTCTTTACGCGACCATTGACTTAACGAGGAAGACTAGAAGAAAACAAAACTCTAATGAGTATCAAAATGAAAATACATCTGAATGCCCAGTTGAAGACCAACCAACGGCTGTCGAGGTAGACAACGGACCCTTAGCTAATTATGAAAATCTCAATTTTGCCCTATCTCTAGAACATTATGAGAACGCCAAAGATTTGTTAAAGAAAGCAGGCGTAACGCAGTCTGAATTAGACGCCATTACCGCAAACCTTAAACCCTCTTCTTTTACAAGCGTACATGGGAAAAATGTTTGTACTAAATGTGGTCATTTACAAGTCTCTGCCGGAATGTCAAAAACACTAAAAGACGTAACTACTCACGAAGATTATTTGATGATGGTGCCAAGTAACACCATTGAAAGTAATAAATTGGATCAATCTAAAATGTTACCACCTGGTTACACGCCAATGTCACCGATAGGCGGTTTTGCGTTCCATACTCTTAAACATCCATCTAAAAGTCCTATAAACAGGTTGTTGGAGGAAAAATCTGCGAGTAATCCTACTTTATGTGGGCCAGACGAAACGCGACAATCTAATGGAGATGGTCAAAGTTCAAAAGACGCGCGTACATCTAGCGAACGAGTAGAAAGAATAGAATACCGAAAACGGTCATGCTCAGCAGATTCGTCAAGATTTTTAGAAGATGTAAAGGAGTTCGAAGGTAGCGTGGGAAGTAGAGGGTCTACGTCTTCTATCGAAACGCTCCGCAATATTGCTCTGGAAGGTGACAGAACATCGACCCCGTGCGATTGCGCTACCGATAACAAACACTCAGATGCAGATAGTTCCGAAGCATCTAAAGGGCGCGGGCGAGGTCTGCCGCCTGCAAAGCGATCGTCTTCAGTCCCTGGAAAGACTGGTGGGAACAGAGATTCATCGAGTTCCAATGACTCTGGTGTGTCAAGTTGTTCGTTACGACCAGGAGCTGAGTTAGTGGAATTCGAGTTGCCACTGACGACTGCGGCTACGCGCCGCCATTACCGAAGTGCACGCCGGGCTACCGCTTCCTACCACACATCTCTGCCGCGTCGATCTAAATCAACAGATCCCTTACGTGAATTTGCCTCCATTCAGAGGGTGCGAATGCCGGCTAAATCCTCTTCAGCTGAAGCGGAAGTGCCTGTACTTAATGTCAAGCAGCTTAGAGGTAACTTATCTAAACATCCTCCACTTTATTCCTTTGGAATTATGATTTGCAGCATTTTAATAATATATTCTTTTTTCAGGAGTAATCGACACGCACAGCACATCTAGTGGTACATCGGATATGTCCGATTACATCGAGACTCTCTCTATATGTTCATCTCATTCCTCGTCCGATACACCTGTAACCATGAGGTGAGTTGTTAAAGACATTTTTTTATTGAATTTCAAAACATCTGTTAACCGGGAAAAGAAAATATAATTATAGGTATTTGCATGTAAGATGGCCTTTTGTTGTGGGGCTCAGCTGCTAATATAGAGAGTATTTTCGTACTGCAAAAGAGAGCTGTTCGCGCCATATATAATTTAAAGGCAAGGGAATCTCTTAGAGAAAAATTTAAAGAAATTAATATTTTAACACTGGCATCGCAATACATCTATGAAAATATAATATATGTAAGAAGAAACTATGACGCATTTGCAAAAAAAAGTCAAACACATAACTTTAACACGAGATTTAAGAACAAGCTTGCCGTTCCATGTTTCAGACTCCAAAAATCAAGAGGTTCATTTCTGGGATGTAGTATTGCATTGTTTAACAAAGTTCCCCAAGATCTGATTGAGATTCCAGTAACCAAATTTAAATCTCAGATTAAGAATACTCTTATGAATAAGGGCTATTATAAAGTTCTTGTAATTTCTTATTTGATGGGTATGAGTCAGTTTTGTAACAGTAGTATGGTACCTATCTAATGCTGCTTCCTATATATACTAAATATAAAATTTGTTGTAACTATATATCTATACCCTAAATAATGTAATGGAAGGTGACTTCAGAAGTATGTCTGAAGTCATTTTTCAACTTGACGACTCTGTATATATCAATACAGGGAGAAAAAAGCAGCCCTTGCTGAGTTTCTTGCCGGTTCTTCTCAGTACAAGGTCTCCCGCCGTAGTTTTGCGAACCGATGGCGTAGCTTCTTGACTTTCACAAGTGCTTGTAACAGCCTAGACTGAATAAATAACTTTTCATTTCATTTCATTTAAGAGGCATGAGGTACACCCATATACGCTGTCAGACAATTGATCACAACATATCTTACACCCATATGACTTGTTCTTTTGTTTGTTGTTCCGAATTTCATTCATGTGTAAGGGAGACAAATAGTTATATATTTCTGTTACTTATTTGACTTTTTAAACGATTGACTGTTTGGTGCAGGGTGGTGCGGCAAACTACAAGCACCCTGCGACCGCGCTCCGGTAAGGAGTACCACAACGTGGACCCGCGCCTCACCTCCGTGTATCGCGCTCATCACCCACACCTCTACACCAATCTGCCCTGAACCTAATTATTGTTGTTTGATCGACGAATCACCACGGTTAGCGCAGTAAGACACGGCCAAACTCTGTTCAATAGGACGATGAACTATAGTGACTGGCTATAATGCTTCTGTCGTGAAAATAAATAATGCCAGTGATTCAACTCGAACAAAAGTAGCAATGTAATTGTACATTTTCAAAAGTCGATCGTAATTTGCAATTGTGCATAACTTATATTTGATCTTTGCAAAGAGTTTGATACTGTTTGTTTAATAATAATGATGCACTTACATGTTATATGTGAAGCTACAGATTTCTAGTTAATTTGTTTATGTCTTGAATTGAACCGCGTTGTTGCGGCGCGTTAAGATAAATATAATTGTGTAAAGTTAATAGTTTTCATTGTTTCGTGTGATCCGTCCATGAACTGTCTCGAAAGATTGTCACCTTATTTGTGTGTATACTCCGTTTATTGAAAACGTACTATTTTTGAACAAAAGTTGTAAATCATAATCTTTCCACAAATTCTGGCACATTAAAATAACTCGATACAAAAAACTGGAAATACCGTTAGTAATATAAAATTTTCTAGGTAAACTAAACGAATTACATGACAGGTAAAGTAAATATTTAACGACAACTATATTATTACATTTTTGTAAAACACATACAACATAGCCTAAGGCTTCTGCCAAATATTAACGATTCGTTTCTAGTCATTTTGTGAACATTGATTGTAAATATTTGTAAGTCGAGCGCATTATTCGTGCTCGTGAAATGAATTTTAGAAATCATGAACAGTAGTGCCAATATTATATTTCGCATTTTTGTAAATACTTCTATTTAGAATTGTATAAATTATAAATTAACTATTATTATTGAAATTATATTAAATTATTATAATAGATTATAAAACTCTACAACGATTCTCTTGTCTGTACTTTGTTATGACGATGTAATTATTTTGATATCGGCGTTTATAACTGAGCGATGGACGGACGTTAGTTAAGTCTGAAGTGTCCTACTTCTGTCTCGTGTTATGTAAAGATAGGGACGTAGTTGCCATAACGAAACTCACTATAGCAATAAGCAGTGCAACCAAAGGTGATCCATTGTGTATTATAGAATTATTTATAACTATATCTAATAGTTTATTAAAAGGCGCGGCGCGTATAAGTGGCCTCGTATCCCGCGGTCACTGTAGACTGCAATGCCACATAATAGGGATGATGACTATTTTTTTTTCTTCGTTTATCAGGTAGATTATCACAAAGTATTGGACAACCCACCACCGACCACTGTGAAAGTTGCTTAACTTCAACCATCGCAGCCGTACGCGCTAACCACCGGCGCCATCGAGCTCCTCAGTTTTAAAATTAAACAATTACAATTTTCTCTCAAAAGTGACGTCACGAGCCGCTACTCCCAAACTCTGACGCGCTATAACTTTGTAATTTTTTGTTTGATTGCCCAAAGAAAAAATACGTGTCCATTATTTTTTGATCATCTAACTTACGGACTAAATAGAATTTCGTTTACTGTAACCCGTCATCACCCCTATTGTGGGAACATAATGTAATTAAACAACATAAAATAATGCAATGTTCAGGTCGCGGCACGTAATTCTAGCGTTGAACAAAACGCTGGGGGGATAGCTGCGCTGCGGTACGACTGGAGAGCCAATCGGCGCGGGGCATCACCGCCCGCGCACCTCGTTTCCCCCTAACACATGGATCCGTTACCGCCAAATTATCGTAAGCGACTCTTTTGTCGAAATGCATTTTTTGTGGAAACTAATATTTTAAACCGTAACGGACCCATCTCTGTTGATATTTCCTTCCAAAAGAACACCGTTATATTATAACGGTAATAAAGTTAGAGGGAAATATCAACAGAGATGGGTCCGTTACGGTTTAAAATATTAGTTTCCACAAAAAACGCAATTCGACAAAAGAGTCGCTTACGGTAATTTGGCGGTAACGGCTCGCATGTTCATTTTTACGCGCGCGCAATAACGTCAACGGTAAGCGCTAGAGTTTCGTGTCGCGATTTATACCAGCCAATCACACTACGAGAAATCGTTACGATCAGACTGTTCGTACGGAACAGTTTATCGTACGTGGCGTACGTATAGGAAACTGTGTAGTTTTATAACATACACGCTACGATTTATCGGTACCGTTCGGACGGTACAGTCTGATCGTAACGATTTCTCGTAGTGTGTATGGCTACCGTTATAATGTGCAGTGTGTGCAGCGACCGCGGGACCGCAGGCGGGCCCCGATGACCCGAAGACTGGATTTGTAAGCAGGTTGTTTAGACAGTACGCTAGCGAATGAATTTATATTATTATAAATTAACTAACTAACGTTAATAATAAAACTTGAAGATTTCTGAATAAAAAACCTTGATAAACAACTTGAGCTTGTGTTTTCATTACGACGGTCTTAATTAGCCTCGTAACACGATGAGAGCGAAAAGATAATCGAGAAAAATACAAAGTGGTCGATGGGGCGGGCGGGACGGCATTAATGACGGCGCCGCCTCGGTCGGGGGAAATTCTTTATTGTTGGATGACAAAGAAAAATCGACTTATTAAAATGTTCGGCCGGTCTTAATTAGTGCTGATGCGGCGGTGGCGACAGAAATGGGCCAACTATCTACAGAGTACGAAACCCGCTCGTTCTCGTGCTAAATGCTTCTGATTTTCAGTGTGACCAACAGAAGCACCGTAAAAGTTTCTTGCCTTATTGTACCTAGTGTGGTTTCACAGTAAAATCATGATTTTTAAATTATTTGTTATTAAATAAAACTAGTTTTTACGGGTTAATGCACGAAAATTTATTTATTTATTGATGTTTCGCAGCCTTTTCAGGTCTGCATCGTCAGAATAATGATTTTTTATTTAAAATTGTCGAGCTACCTTCGAAAGACTTATATTGAGCGTTCGGTTATTTCATTAGAAGATTTTTAAAATTTTATTGTCTATGTATGAATTTATTATTTAATTTACTTAATAAAGTATTTTATTTAAAATTCTTGTTCGTAATTTTGAGTTTATTTATTTATTTGACCCTAACTACCGTAAACTACCACCGGTTCCAAAATTGGGAGACCTTCCTGAGAAGAACCGGCGAAACAAACTCAAAAGGGGCTTTCTATCTCCTTCTTATGTTAAATTATGCAAACAAAAAGAACTAATAATAAATAAATAAATTTTCGTGCATTAATCCGTAAAACTAGTTTTATTTAATGAGTGATGTGCGTGAAAACCTAAGAAACAAATATTATTTGTTATTTTTAATAACCAGTACTTACATCTTTGAATTTATACAGCATTAGAAAAACCAAAGACGTTTAGAGCAATGAAATTCTACATTGAACGGAAAATGTAAGTAGAAACGAGGGTGGAGGGAGAAAATGAGTTATATTTATTGGTTTTAGAAGATGACTTAATTGAAATGAAATGAATAGTTATTTATTATACAAGAGTGGAAAGTTCCTTTTTAACCGCGTGCTCGATTTGGATGACCGAGCAAGCGAAGGATTCTAAAGTTGAATCACGAGCGCAGCGAGTGATTCTAAATTAGAATCCTGAGCGTCAGCGAGAGAAACAAACGAGCACAAGGTGAAAAATCTTTCCACTCGAGTGCAATACGTAACTTTTCATCCCACCTCAGCGAGGAAATGACAAAATGAAAAAGAAAACAATTTATAATGACAAAATATTTTTATTTCAATTAAAACACATTAAGATAATCTATAAATTGAAGAAAATAATAAGAAGTAGAAAATAATTAAGAAATATTAAATGTAACGTTGCTACAGTTACTTATGTTAAGTTTAATATTTTTGTTAGGTAATGTTATGTTGGTGTTTGTGAATTGTGCGCTGTTTTGTGGTAAACTACTCGTATCAGTAATTTTAAATAGTTGTGCCGATTCATTGGATTCTATTGGCGTAAATGTTGGCGAGAGAGGGCTATTGTTTCCAATCTTATGGGGGCTCATTTTAGATGTAGAAGGGCGAGACCAAGAATCTGACAGAGGTTCTTTCAGCGTTATGGCCTCCACGATACTATTACAAATTTTTGATTTACTTTGGATTGAATCCTCTATGTATCCCTCTACAACCGAATTAGACTTCCAGCCTCCATGGCGCTTAAGCGATAGAAGATCAGCCCCTGATTCGGCCAAAAGTGTGGCTGAGGTTCTTCTAAAACAGTGACCGGTGTATAACGGGGGTTCTAAAAGTCCGAGAAAAGTTGCTATTTCTCGTGGAATACTGCCAATTTTATTCTGACCCATAGGTTGTCGGATACACTTTCCGTTGCGATATTGTAGAAAAAATCGTTCAATTGGGGTGTTAGAAGGACGTAAAGCTTGATATTTCTGAACAATGTTTACATATTCCTTGCGAATAACGAAGTTGCGGTCTTTTTTTGTCTTGGTATTTAGTACATTAATTAATAGCAATTCATCAGAATTATGAGAATATTTTGATACGTTATTGACATTAAGTAGTGTAAGTTCATTTGTTCGACATGCTCCGGTTATACCAATAATAAGAACAACCTGTAACAAAAGAAGTATTTATAATCGTAAATAAATTAATCAAATTAAAAATATTGTAAGTACTATGTACAATTTTATCAACAACAAAAAATTACACGTATTGACTTACTTTTGCCGCTAAATATACGGAATCAGGTGCTTCATTAATAAACTTTGCAATTTCAGATGCTGTGAAAACCTTCGATTTTTTTGGTTTATAACCAGATGAGGCTCTTTTTAAAAATGCCACTAATTTATGATAGGTGTCGATATGAACGTCTTTCTTCATCTTAATTGTTAATTTTAGCATTGAATACGTACTCCATAGCGTGCTTGCTTTCTTGGTCTCAGATAATTCTATAAAATATGCCAGCAAAACGTTTTCGGAGAAAGTTTTTGCTCCTTTAGCTAGTCGCCACATGTTAAATATATCGTACTGTTTCAAATACTTCTCTCGTGATTGCTGAGGGAGAAGGCTCATTTGCGCATTATTAACTGTTTCAGTTAACTCAGTTGGCGTTAGATAAACTTCATCGTCGCTAATGTCACTCATTTTAGTTGATTTTTTTGTACAGTTTTTAGGTTATGTTAATTATATTAAGCAATAAAACGTGAAAAACTAGAATGGCGCGAAGCACGCAAATAAAACAAAGAAACCAAGAAGGTTCCAAATTTAAATTTTTTCACAATTTAAAAAGTTCTAATCATAAATTTGGCACCATAGAGGTTACATTAAATAGGTTTAATGACGTTTTGAATTTACAATTATATTGAGTACTCATTATATGTGATGTTCTAAATTCAAATCTACTTTGCCGCTCAAGCGAATAAAATAGAATTTTCCAGCCAGATTTCGAAGCGCAAAATTACACTTTCCGAGGTGGTGGGATGAAAAAGTCATTTATTCAGTCTAGGCTGTTACAAGCACTTGTGAAGGCCAAGAAACTACGCCATCGGTTCGCAAAACTACGGCGGGAGACCTTGTACTGAGAAGAACCGGCAAGAAACTCAGCAAGGGCTGCTTTTTTCTCCCTGTATTGATATATACAGAGTCGTCAAGTTGAAAAATTACTTCAGACATACTTCTGAAGTCACCTTCCATTACATTATTTAGGATATAGATATATAGTTACAATAAATTTTATATTTAGTATATAGGAAGCGGCATTAGATAGGTACCATATTACTGTTACAAAAACTGACTCATACCCATCAAATAACAAATTACAAGAAACACAATGTCCATGCATTACGATCATTTAGATAATCATTAACTTTATAATAGCCCTTATTCATAAGAGTATTCTTTATCTGAGATTTAAATTTGGTTAGTGGAAGCTCAATCAGATCTTGGGGAACTTTGTTAAACGATGCAATACTACATCCCAGAAATGAACCTCTTGATTTTTGGAGTCTGAAACATGGAACGGCAAGCTTGTTCTTAAATCTCGTGTTAAAGTTATGGGTTTGACTTTTTTTTGCAAATGCGTCATAGTTTTTCCTTGATTCCTTGATCCTAAAACAAGAGAGGTAGAGCATAGCGGATTGTCCACTCGAATTAAGGCACCCGTCTGGGAAAGCAATCTCTACCTTACAGAAGACTACAGTAAAATAACCCTACCTTTTGGTGGTGTTGTGTTTCTGATGGTTAGTAAGGGTTGAGGGCTCCCCGGGGAGGGAGATTGGGTCAGGGTAGGCAGCAGCGCGAGTGATGTTATTGGTATCGCAAGCGTCTATAGGGTATACGGTTATTTGCTACCCTTTTAACATAATTAAGATGTGTTACATCATCATCATCAGCCTATTAATGTCCCCACTGTTGGGGCACAAGCCTTCCCTATGGATGGAATAGGGAGAATGGGCCATGACCCACCACGCGGGCCCAGTGCGGATTGGTGGGTGCTAACGACTGCAGATGCAGCCGGGACCAACGGCTTAACGTGCCTTCCGAAGCACGGAGGAGCTCGAGATAGTAAATTTTTGGTCACCCATCCAATGACCGACCACTGCGAAAGTTGCTTTATTTCAACGATCGCAGCCGAACGCGCTAACCACTTGCGCCATCGAGCTCCTCTATAACACTTATCTTAATTAAGATAAGTGTTACATTCACAATTATATTTTTAGCTTGTCGTAGAACGAATCTCTTTTGGGAGAGTTGTTATTCAAACGACTTTCTCTTTTAAAGATCGGTTTCTATTAATGCTGTACATTTCTTTGCGATCGATAGATCATCATCATCATCGACCCATGCTCGTCCACTGCTGGACGTAGGTCTCCCCTAATGCACGCCACTGCTCCCGATTTTCTGCCACTCTCATCCAGCCCACGCCCAGCAACTCCTCCAGTTGAACTAGATGTGAGTCGAGCCGTAGCGTGCGACCGTTATATGTCGCCAAGTTAAGCGTTTTTTGGCGGCCTACCGTCAGTGTAGCCAGGTCTCCAGATTTTACAGGAGATCTCCTGTTTTTATGAAATTTCTCCTGTTCTACTGTTTTCCAACATGAATCTCCTGTTTTTCTTAGAATACGATTTTCCTTTTTTAAATTGCATGTTAAGTTGCAATTTCTTCCATTAGTAATGTCGGTAACTTTAATATTATAAAATAAATGTAATTGTCTAAAAAAATAGCTTTGAGGGGCGGCAGAAGCCACAGAAACACATTCGTTTCCACTGGCTTATATCTTGATTTGATTTTCCAGTTTTAGGGGGGGGGGGGGGGGTTCTATAACGCCTCCCGATTTTTAAAAATCGGACCTGGCAACACTGCCTACCGTAGCCCGGAGATTCTTAGCACCGGTCGATAGACATTTTCTTTGATATCTGCAGGTAATATATGGAGACCGAGTTATTTGAAA